TGTCTACACACTTTTCACACATACAGGAGCATCTCTACACAGTTCCCACCCATACAGGAGCATGTCTACACACTTCTCCATACAGGAGCATCTCTACACACTTCTCCATACCGGAGCATGTCTACACACTTCTCACACACACAGGAGCATCTCTACACACTTCTCACACACACAGGAGCATCTCTACATACTTTTCACACGTACAGGAGCATCTCTACACACTTCCCACACATACTCGAGCATCTCTACACACTTCATACAGGAGCATCTCTACACACTTCTCACACACAGGAGCATATCTACACACTTCACACACGTACAGGAGCATGTCTACACACTTCCCACACATACAGGAACATCTCTACACACTTCCCACACACAGAGGAGCATCTCTACACACTTCCCACACACACAGGAGCATCTCTACACACTTCTCATACATACAGGAGCATCTCTACACACTTCCCACACATACACGAGCATCTCTACACACTTCATACAGGAGCATCTTTACACACTTCCCACACATACAGGAGCATCTCTACACACTTCATACATGAGCATATCTACATACTTCTCACACACAGGAGCATGTCTACACACTTTTCACACATACAGGAGCATCTCTACACAGTTCCCACCCATACAGGAGCATGTCTACACACTTCTCCATACAGGAGCATCTCTACACACTTCTCCATACCGGAGCATGTCTACACACTTCTCACACACACAGGAGCATCTCTACACACTTCTCACACACACAGGAGCATCTCTACATACTTTTCACACGTACAGGAGCATCTCTACACACTTCCCACACATACTCGAGCATCTCTACACACTTCATACAGGAGCATCTCTACACACTTCCCACACATACAGGAGCATATCTACACACTTCATACAGGAGCATATCTACATACTTCTCACACACACAGGAGCATGTCTACACACCTTTCACACATACTGGAGCATCTCTACTCAGTTCCCACACATACAGGAGCATGTCTACACACTTCTCCATACAGGAGCATCTCTACACACTTCTCCATACCGGAGCATATCTACACACTTCTCACACACACAGGAGCATCTCTACACACTTCATACAGGAGCATCTCTACACACTTCCCACACATACAGGAGCATCTCTACACACTTCTCACACACAGGAGCATCTCTACACACTTCTCACACACATGAGCATCTCTACACACTTCTCACAGACACAGTAGCATCTCTACACACTTCTCACACATACAGGAGCATCTCTACACACTTCTCACACACACAGGAGCATCTCTACACACTTCCCACACATGCAGGGCTTAGGAACATCATAGAATGAAGGAGCAAGTGGAATGGTTGTAAAAGCCAGAGGCTGGGGAGGCCTTCTGTAAAACAGTGTCTTATGGACATGATAGGAAGCCACACTCATGAATTCTCTGCAGAAGACTTGTACAAGGACATGCCAATCTGGAGTTGGAGGACTCATCAGGAATTTGCTGGAAGCTAATGGCTACATAGGAGGAAGTGTCATATTTCTTCAGTGATATGGTCCACACTGGGTTGCCCATGCCTCAGTGGATGATCGTACACTCATGTACCTACAGGTATAGGCAGCAATAATTGGACTCAGTGGGTTTTGTACTTTAAAAAAGAAGAAGAAAGAAAAGTCTTTAAGAAGGGGGTGGTAATATCAAGGAGGAGTCTGAGGTAGGAATAGATAATATATATGATTTAAATACATTGCATTCATGTATGAAATTTCCATAGGATAAATTAACAAAAAGAAAATTGAAAAAAAATGCCAGCCGTGCCTTGAATGGTAGAAAGCAGCACAATTTGGAGACTGTAGGGGGTGTGATCCATGAGTTATGCAGCCCACTCCAGTTAACCCCTGGAAACCCCTCTGCAGACACGCCAAGATGTGCTTTTCCTAGGGAAGCCTAAGTGCAAATAGGTTGTCAATAGAGACGGCAGTTTTGTTTAGTGCTGTCTGTCTAGGGGAGATTACTTGGGGATCAGCTTTTAAACTCCAACTTACCTGCTGGACTCCACAGCCCCAGTGTTACAAGGAGGAATGGTACTTTAGAAGCACTCTGTTCTTCACAGCCGTGGGTGCTTCTCAAGACCATCTCTTGTCTGTGTGACCCAGCAGAGGCAGGGAGTGAGAGAAGTGGGTGTATTCATGTTGACATAGGACTTAGTAGAAATATGAGTAGAGCTGGCTGAGCCATCCTCTGAGGTCCTCTCTCAAATAAAAAGGAAGCGAGCACCATGTATTCCTTTCCACGTAATACGCTGCAGTGTGTGATTGACAGTTGATCTAGACAGAAACCTGACATGACCACAAGCTACTCCATCAAACCTTTCTTGTAGCAGCTGAGTTCAACAACACAGCACCTAACTATGGTTAGATACTGTGTGTGGTGTGTGGAGTCAGAGACGGGGAATCTTTTTCTTATGCAGAGACAAACATGTTAACTGCTGGCATGAAGCATAGTCACACACATGGAAATGACAGGTTTGATACAGAAAACTGGAGTTATAATGAATTTTGACTGATGGCAATTGAAGTTGTTAACTGATCCTAAATCCACCTGATACGGTGAGTTTGGGGAAGGTTCTACAGATGTAAAAGAATCATTAAAAGCTAGTGAATGTTCTATGGCATTGGAGAGCCCAGACAATGCTTATAAAGTTAGGAGGGAGCCTTAAAGTGAAGCTCTATGGCATGAGGGTTCCCGAACCACAAGAAGGTTCATATGATTAGGATTTCTTAAGCTTGTCACAACTGGCACCCAGTGGTCTCTGGGCTCAGCGAGACCTGGTTTAAAGGGGATATGGCAATGAGTGACAACTCAGGAACCCAGAAGCTTCCTCTGGCTTCCATACATGGTTGCGTGGGCATAGATGCCTACTCATATGGTAGTATCTAGTCATACAACACACACACAAACACACACACACACACGCACACACACACACACAGTTTAAAAAGTAAAACCCCTCACACTTTTGAAAAATTTAAAGGCACAAGACAAAGCAGTGGCAATCTTGACCATCCATCCTTACCTAACCTAGTGTAGTAGGCAGAATTCTCTAGATGCTCAGGACTGCAGATTGGTACATCTATTATAAAGGGGGATTGGTTTACAAGATAGGCATTAAGCAGTTCAATAATGGTACTCTGTATGCTAAATAGGCTGAGAACTCAGTTGGACTCCAGCCATGAGGCTGGGTACACCAGTAGTCCCAGAAGACTCGGAGGAAGCCAGGCAGTGGTGGCTCACGCCTTTAATTCCAGCATTCATGAGGCAGAAGCAGGCGGATCTCTGTGACTTGGAGGCCAGCCTGGTCTACAGTGTGGGTGCAAGGACAGGCTCCAAAAGTTATACAGAGAAACCCTGCCTCAAAAAACAAACAAAACAAACGCCTTGAAGAAGTCTTGGAGAATGGCTTACTTTCACTTCCTGTTGTAAGGCTGGAGACTTTGGAATCTAATGTCAGCAGAGACTGGTGATGGTGATGGTGGCCATCGATGAACTTGCTAATAAATAAGTGAAGGCAACATTGCTTTCTTTCCCCCAGATCTTTTTCTATTTGGGCCACCCACTAGAAGGTTTCCCCACACAAAGAGGGTATCTTCCTCTCTAGGTTAATTCTCCTTGGCAATATCCTCATGAATATCCCCTGAGGTGTGTCTCCTAGGTAATTCCAGATCCGGTCAAGTTGACAGGAAAGTAATCATCAAGAGTCAAGAGTAATCACCAGAGACTGAGATAGCTCATCAAGTAAGAATGCTTGCTGCTAAGCCCGAGGAACTGAGACAATCCCTGGTACCCACATGATGGAAGGAGAGAACTAATTCCCACAAGTTGTCCTTTGACCTCCACACATGAACCATAGTACATTTGCACACAATAATGTGCACACAAATAATGTAATAAAAGTTTTAAAAGATTAATTATATATATTTGAGGTTAATATAAATGACATCAACTATGAGCTAGTCCACATGTTCACCCTTGTTAACCCTGAGCCCAGACTGGACTCTCTGCTGGTCTAGCTTACCTACTTGAAGTGTCCTTGTCAGTTAGGGACAGTGACATAGCAGCTATCAGTGGCTCCTTCCATGCCCCCAGTCAGCTTCAAAGGAACGAGCTGCCAGAATACACGCCAAGGTGGCCGTGGGCACGGGCAGTCACACTTCTTACCTTGATTTCCTCTCGGGTGGGAGGAAGAGCTGCTTTATGTTGTGCAGGCCTTAGGGGCCTAGAGCAGCAGAGTTCCAACTGATGTCCCTAACCCCACATGGGGAAGAATAGCCAAAGCAATTGGACACAGGACACACAGATCTGACTGTAGGCCCTGTGCATTTATATTCGTTAGAAAGCTGTTGTCCACAATGTGGAATCAAATCACAACTGAAAAAGAAATGACAGAAGCGTTTGTCCACACATGGTAAGCCAGAGTGGGCTTCAGATACAATGTGACTCAGCTTAGCATCTTCAAAGACCTCGGCTTCCTTCTTCCTTGTGTCACCCTAAGGTTGGCTTTACCCTCAGAATAGAGATGAAATGACTGCTGAGCTACCAGCCACCATTCCCGAGCCATCAACTGCGAGAGGAAGAAAAAAGATTGAGTATGTGTTCACTACATATCTGTAAAGAGAAATGTCCCAGTTTCCTCTCAGCAAATTTCAACCTCACATGGAATAGATCAGAATTAAGTGACACCCCCACCCCCACCCCACCCCTGCTGAGGCACGGTTTCTTTGTGTAGCCCTGGCTGTCCTGGAATTAGGTCTATAGACCAGGTTAGCTTCAAACTCACAGAGATCTGCCTACTTCTGCCTCCTGAGTGCTGGGATTAAAAGCATGAGCCACCATCATCCCTGGCAACACAACCATGTCTAAACAAAGCTTTGCCAGGGGGGGCGGGGTGAGGCTACCTAGCTTGGCTTGCAGACAAACCAGAATCACTCTCGGGAACTAGGACTGGCACAATTTTTTCTCTGAGACACTTGACTTTGAGAAGGGAAGTGCACATCTGAGAAAAATCTCTTTCCTATTCAGAAGAGAGAAGGTAAGGCAATGCTTTTCAGATGGGTAACCAAGTGTGTGTGTGTGTGTGTGTGTGTGTGTGTGTGTGTGTGTGTGTGTGTGTGTGTGTTTGCCTCATTGCTGTCAGTCAGCGAGAGGGGAAAACAAGCTACCTTGGTGACCTCTCTTATCAGCTTTCCCTTGGGTCCCAACATCTGTGCCTCCACAAGGTGCCACATGGGCTGGTTACAATGCTCCTTTGTGTTTAGGGTAAGCCTTTCTTCTATCCACCTCCAGAACTTTTACAGACTAGCTACCTCACCCATATGACCATCTTCCACTCATAGAGGTGATGTGAGGGTCACCAGGCAGCCCCGAGGGTCCAATCTGGAGTCAGAGCACTCCTAGCTCCAGGTGCTCTGGCAGGACTGAGCCTAGAGACTCCACCCACCAGGGAGGCTGTGACTGCAGAGGGAACAAAGGCTTCCTTGTGTTGTCCTGGAGGACATCAGCTCTGCAGCCTTCTTGGAGAGGTGCTTTGTCGACACACAGAGCAGAGTGGATCAACAAGACCAAAGCCAGTTTGGTCTGACTGGGCTCATTCTAGTTCATTCCTTTGCCTCTGGATTCTCTGTGCTGACTACCATTCAGGGTGTAGAACATATGGCATGAGCAGGCCACAGCTTCTGACCTCAAAGGTCATGATAGAACAAGAGCTTCCCTTCCATCTGCTAGGTGCAGGGCCTCCAGGAACAATACCATCTCAAGCTGAGATTTAACCAACAGAGAGCAGTGTAATATAGTCTATTTCCAAGAAACACAGAGCCTCCCTCAGTGTGGGGAGAGTATCAGCAGGACGCCTTAGTTGTCTGGGAAAAGTATAGATGGTTAGAACCACGGGGTAAGAAACCTGCAGGACTAAGAGAGCTTCTCAGAGTGACTAATGACACACAGGCGTCTTGTCTCTAGGAGAGATGTGGGGTGTGTGTGTCCCATCAACGACACACAGGTGTCTCTAGGAGAGACGTGGGGTGTGTGTGTCCCATCACATCTAACCGCATAGCCCACACGTTCTCACCCTGCATCCCTCGAGATGAATGCTGGAAACAGAGGGAGCTGAGACGGAAAGTCAGGGTGTCAGGGTCAGAGGGAGACTTCTGGTTCTGCTCTGAGAAGCACAGCGGTGACTTTCAATACCTACGGGACCTATTTGCATTCTTCAGTGGACACTGTAGTCTCCCCAAATAATTTGGCTTGGTTGTTTGTGATCAAGATCCTCTCCTTGTAATAAACGAGTGAGCCATGAGCCTGTGGCTACCTTGCAGGCCAATGAGATGAGAAAACAGCGTCTCCTACACTGAGATAGGGAAAGGAGGCCTGCTCTCCTCCCTCCTGCCCTGCCGCCATCTTGTCAGCAGCCCGAGGATACAGGCTGTGCCTTGGTGGCAGAGGGGACGGAGGCCACCACTGATGAGCTTCTGATGAATGGCACCTGGAGCCTGTCCCATCTGCCGATTAGCTTAGACGGCTTGTCAGGTAAGGACGAATCTCCTATCCCTGTTTCAGGGAGGGCTTCCCGTTACTAGCAGTGAGCAGCAGCCCGGCTGGTGAACTCGCTTTCTACTCCTAAAGCGTTTGCTTCTGCTGGTGCATTTTAGTCATTTTCTACATCAGGGCTCTTGGACTCACAGCGTGGAGGTCAAACTGTCCTTGATTAAACTGGCTCAGGCAGCAGGTGGCACATGGGTGATGTCCGGGGCAGGCCCATGTCTCATCCTCTTCAGGTAGTGTGGATGGCCGTGGGCCAGCATTTTGATGCAGGAGCTCACGGAGCTAGGGCGGCTGTTGAGGACTCCAGCCAGCAGCTGGACCACAGCAGTGACAGCACAGGCAGAGGGATGAGGTCACTGTACCTGCCACTCTGCGGCATGCCAGAATTGTCATCCACAGTTGACTGCTGTTGGTACGCACAAGCTCCTCCCGTCACCTGGGGAATAATGACCCCTCTCCCCACTTTTCCTTCTGCCCCCTTCAATAAACACCTTCTGTTTTAGTGTTTAGTGGCTTCCTTGTTTTGACACCACTTTTAGAAAATGGTTTCCGTTTATTTTTATCCATGTCTTGACAAGTTAGTGGAGGAGAGCTGTGGACACAATTGATTGGCAGTTGTGTATATATACCAACTTTTTAAAAAGAACCTTAACTCTTTTTAAGAGTGTAGTTCAGTTACATTAAGTCTACTTATGGTGTTGTGAGGCAGTCTCTGGAATGGTTCTGTGATGGTTAGTTTGATCTGTCAACTTTCCTAGGCCATGGGGAGTGTGACCATGCTGTGTCAGGGAGTGTTGGCAAGCGTGTGTCCAAAAGATGCTAAGATTTGATCTGTAGACTCAGTAGACTGTACTTGCTCACCAGTGTGGGTGAGCTCATCCAGTCCGCCAATGTCCTTAACCCAGCAAGGAGAGAAAGGAGAACAGCTCCTCTCCCTGTCTGCTCCATCTGTGACCCTGGACTTCTGTCCTTGGATTGGAGTTCAAGATTTCAGCTCACCTGCTTCTCAGGCCTTTGGATTCAGACTAAAATTACACCAGTGACATTCTTGGATCTCATAGCATGGAAAAATTTATAGGACTTCTTAGCCTCTATAATTACACGTCAATTCTCCACCATATAAATATAAACCTGATTTAAGGATTGGGATTTGTTCAAAAGTTATTTCATGCATCTTACTAAAGAAATGGTGTATGAGTGTGTGTATGCACACATAACACACACATATATCTTCTATCAGTATTGTTTCTTTGGAGAAGTGTGACTTTTAACACACCTTTCTGGATCAGAGCTCTATGCTCACTAACCAACCCCTTTCCTCTGTCGCCTGGTCTTGGTAACCGCCTACCCACCATCCCACTCTGGTCTCTATGATTTTACTACTACATGCATCTTACACAGTGGGTTTCTACAGTGATTGCTGTCAGCCACTGGCCCTCTTCACTTAGCATGAACACCCTGAAGCTTGGGCTTACTTCCCTCGGCACAGTGCCCTCAGTGTAGCGTGGAGTGACACTATACTGCGAACGTCCAGCTCCTCCACCCATCCTGCTGACTGCCAACTGCCTTTCTGCTCTTGGATGCTGGACCTTCGCACCACCCTACAACCAGTCAACTGATGCTTGGATTTTAATTCTGTAGCCCGTGTTTCATTCCGTTGTAGATCATGGAAAACGAACTCCCAAGAGGGCTTCATGTTTGTAAGCTTCAGCTTGTTAATGTTTCTTCAAGAGGAAAAATATGTTTTGTATGAAGGAACAAAAAGCCAATACCCACATGTTCTACATATAGCTGAATAAATATATGATATAAAAGCTAAATACGTTTAGCAATATGACTATTCCATCTTAGCCTTACTTTGCAGCCATGAGCCTGGAGAAATGGAAGCACATTTTTGAATTTTTGTTTTTTCTTATCCATAAAAGGTAATGTAAGCTCGTCATAGAAACATTATAAAAACAGCAATAAAATCCATCATTTAATGAGGCTGTAGTTGTGCAGGACACTGCTGTGGGCTTTAAAGTTATTCTTTAACATTTTAATAACCTGCATATGCTCCACAGTCATTGTTTGTGATACTTTAGGTTGGCTACGGACAGCTGAGAAGACATCTCAGGACCTTCCTGAGCATTTCAACATCTACCACAGGTACCGTTTTCCTCAGCCAGGACAGGGAGCTGCTTCAAAGGGAAGAGCTCACTGCCCAGAGATGCCACAGCCACTTTGTGGGGTCTCTGTTGCCCAGAGGACACAGCCACTTTGTGGGTTCTCTTTTGCCCTGAGGACACAGCCACTTTGTGGGGTCTCTGTTGCCCTGAGGCTCCCTTAAGACTGTGCTGCTGTCGGGACTCTGAGCAGGCGAAGTGTCCAGGATAGTTGAGGTAAGAGCTAAGGTCTTGTCTCATCACTGACTGTTTCATCCTGGGGCTGGCAACAGCATCCTAGAGGAACCTAACCCAGCCTCTGCATTTCTAGAGAGCATTGGGTTTCCTTGGTTCTCTTGCCAAGGGCACACAACAGCACCCCAAGGCTGAATTCTCAGCTCCTGACCTCAAAGCTCTTCCCACCCATTTCACCTTGGAGGCTCATGAGCTGATGGCAAACCTATGTCCCTGTAATTTGCTTGTCTTTATTTTCGCTTAAAAGCATTTCCAGTTTTCAAATGGAGAAACCTGAAGAGCCATAATGTTTTGTTCAGGGGCTGATATTTGGTAGGGGAGCGGGGCATGGTTAGCATAGCTGTCACCCTCCTTGGAAAGGATGAGGAATAGGTTTGGGCTTGGCAAGGTTCCTTATCCCTTCTGAGTTTCATGTTTTGCATATAGAGTTGGGAGGGTTGTTGTAAAGATTAGAACTAATGTATGCAAAGCCTTGAGAACAATGCCTGAGTCCTGGTGGGTGGTCTATGACTGCTAGTAGGTATAGCAGGGTGGCCAGACTCCAAAACCTTTAAGCTTTCCTTGGAACAATACCCTCCCCACAGTAAAATGATGGGGGGGGCGAAGAGAGAAAGGGATGTACCTCACGCTTAGCTGCGGTCCCCAGGACCAAATGCACTCACCGGTGCGCTTTACCTCACCCTTACTGCTTTATGTCAGTCTTTCTGCGAACTGTGTCACCGTCGGTTGTGGTCACACAGAATATGATACTTACTGTGTGTCCTTTTCATATCTCATCTCACGCTGGGGCCGGCTTTCATGTCTACCTTTGGGCCAATCTTAGGTGCTAGGCGCCCCGTGTCACAACAGCCCTTTGGGAATTGTGGGACTCCCTCCTGTAGCAGCAGGAGGTCGCTGCTTCATCCCTCCATTTTTTTTCCTGTATAGTCTTGGCCGTTCTGGAACTCACCCTGTAGACCATACTGGACTCAAGTTCCCAGAGATCCTCCTGCCTCTGCTCCTCTGCCTCCTCAGTGCTGGGATTGAAAGTGTGTGCGCCACCACTGCCCAGCCCGTTGGGTGGGTTAGTGTCTTTAAGCACCCTTCTCCGCGT